AATTTTCTGTTCTTTATGTCAATGGTTACATGATCCAGAATTAAGACCACATCACTTTTAAGACCACCAGATCCAGTCCCATTTCTTTGTTTTGTTCTTTATTTGACCCCACTATTGAGACCACTGATTTAAAGTCAACACTTACCTAGATCTTAAATTTGTTGTTATTATCAGCTTGAATGCTCTAATGCATGACACCTAATTTCACAAAGTGTCAAAAACACTGTATATCATTGGGATATTGTATGAAATAAGGTGAGAAAGTAAATTTTAGAGTGGTTTAATCTTGCTTTAAGCACATTGATTATGTGTAGAACTAATTGTTTATTTGATGGGTGAATTATGTACATCATATTATAATTAATATTGAAATTGATATTGAAATCAGACAAAATGGAATTTGATATTAAATTTCTTTCTTCCTATCAAATATTAATTTATAACATAGTTTTATGTTGTATTTGCAGTTATATATATTTGTTCATAATAAATGACTAAAAAGACCATGGTCAAAAAGTGTGTAAGCATTGATAAGAATATTCACAATTAAGACCACCCAACAATTAAGACCACTTCGGTCCAGTCCCGATGGTGGTCTTAATTGAGGGTTTTTACTGTACATTTGTTCCAGCGACATACTTACCGAGTATGTTAGAAATTCTTGTATTTCTGAAATTAAGAAATCAGATTATGAACAGGACATAACAGTTATAAAGCAAGATGATACTAACTCTGATTTATTAGATTTATTCGCAAATAGAAAAACGAAATGCAAAAAAAAACATGATATCTGTCTGTTCATTCTGCCAAACAAATAATGAAAATTTACGATCTCCAAGCAACAATAAATCTGCAGAACTACCAAATTTCAAAGATGCTTTACTTTACCTCTAAATCCCAAATGAGTTGTGTGCTTGTGAGATAATCAGAAAACAAAACATCTCACAGAAATAGAAATGGGTGATTACGTAATGACATTTGATTGTCTAAATGTTAAATGTCAACCTCTTTATTTCAAATATTACAGTTTGTACAAAATTATTAGACATAAATTATTCAAATATTTGTGAACATTTGTTTTAATATGTTCACAGTCTTTTATTATTTTTTTTCACCTGCATTTTTTTATTTTCCATTTACTTTTTTTTCCTTTTATTATTTTATTGTTGTTTTATTTTTTGCACTGGGAAAATTACGTAAAAGATGCCATGGCCGCCATGGCATCGCAAATACCACAGTTCAAAGCGTGTAAAACATATCGGTTGAATTTGCCAAATAGTGGAATGGCAAAAATAAACCAGCTGCTGTAAGATGCTTTACTCACTTTATGCGCCATGAATAAACATTGAAGTTGCTTGATATTGAATTTTCAAAAAATGCATCAAGGCTCCAAACTCATCAAAATTATATCAAATTAAACAAAATTTCAGAAAGGAAACTAATAATCGGTAAAATTACCGAAAGAAATATTTAGAGTTTTTAAAAGAACATATGTTTTAATATTTTGCTATTTACTTTATTTTAGGAGCGTCCGTAGCCGAGTGGTTAAGGTCGTTGAACTTAAAACACTTGCCCCTCACCGCTGTGGGTTTGAATCCAGACAGGGACTTTGGATTCTTTCATGTAAAGAAGCTATCCAGCTAGCTTACGGAACGTTGGTGGTTCTACTCAGGTGCCCGTTCGTGCCTGAAATAATGCACGGAATAAAAAAATAATGGATAGCATATCAAAGTTAGGACAGATTTAACATTTATTTAATCGCGTGATTTTTCAAAGTAATAGTAAAGTAAGTGGTTCTTCTGTCATTAAATTCACAATATAACAAAATGAACGCTTTGAGTTCATATCAATGAAATTGTATAGCAGTAATCACAGCATACTTATTACGATTTTAAAATGTTAATAAAGTTATGATGAATGGTCATATTTTATTTTAGAACACTTGATAATCTGCTAGTATATAAAATATAGTTTTGGTTCATATATCTCACACTTGCCTGTATGTAGTCTTTCGTGGTCTGCTGGGTATTCGGACAATGCCTTTCGACAGTTGCCCCCTCGGAAGTGTGTCCCCTTTTTGCAGTGGCGGACATTTGCCCCCTCATATCATTGGAAGGGGTGGACATTTGTCCCCCCTCCCCTCCCTGTTTTAAAAATGTTAAAATATTTTATTGTTTAATTGTTTGCTACCAAAATTCATCGCCTATTGTAGAAAATTTCATTGTGCTTAAATACACAAAAAGTCTCACGCAAATTTTTGAAAGTCAAACTAGCATCCATAAATAAATGTACTATAATATTTCCATTGGCATACAAAAAAAATTTATAAACGTGATGACAACAGCAAAAGGGGGGGGGGCAACTTCCGGGGGGCATATGTCCTAGAATCTGCATTGTCTGATACGAAATACTATCAACATAATTATTCATTCTTTAACATACCTTCTATTACAGATCTATTTACTTTATTATTGACAAATTGCACATTTAGCAAAATGTATATTGTATTTAAACAGAACGTTGATAAAAGCTTATCTGTACATGCGTTGTGTTAAAAATAATATTTGTGCTCAAGAAAATAAAGTTTTACGGTGTGTAAGTTGGATATCGGCCTCGTACATCGATCTTTCTGTTTAGAAAAGACCTAGTCACTATGAAACACCTCGAGCGCTACGCGCTCTCGGTGTCACCAGGTCTTTCCTAAACAGAAAGACCTCGTACTCGGTCGATATCCTATACATATATTTGTGTAGTTGGGTTTACACACTAAAGGTCATATTGAGGTTTTCCAGCTTTACTGGTGAAGACCTCAGATGCCCTCCCGTGCATTATAAGAGGGGCATGGTTTAATAAGTAGCAACGGCAGTGCGTCATATCTGTGAAAAAATTATTAGTATAGTCCTTCATGAAATTCACCATGGACCGTTACACACTTTTCCAGAATCCATTCCGATAAAACAGCTTTGAACTGTTTGTTTGGGTAAACCGTTTATACACTGGTGGAAATAACCGTGAAGGCAAGGTTTGATGCATTGATTGTACCAAAAGTTTATAATGGTAATACTGGGGCAAATACTAATAATTTAAAGCGTGAATTGTGTAAAAAAAACTTACTTAAGTTTGTTCTACATTATCAAATATAAAAAAATATTACGTAAATATGATGTCAACTGACCTTTAAATTTTCTTTCAAGATGATAAACACGTATGACTCACTAAGGCCTGATATGTCCCTAATCTCCTCAACGGTATATCTTGCATCTTCATCAACTATGGCTTTGATAGTACTGATGTCTTATTCAGACATTGACACCAACCTGGCAACTGTACGATATGTAAGGGCATTTTAACAATAAACTAAATCTAAATCCGTTTATATTTCTGACTCGCATTTACTTGTTCCCAATTACCCACGAATTTTTCAAGTAGTATTTTTGCTCCTCTCCTCTCACAGCTCAGCCATGTTTACAACCAGTATACTTTACAACCAGTATACAAAACCACATGTATTTAAATGACCTGCTACAATATTTTGCACGTGAAAATCGTGCTGTTGGTTAGAAAAATCAATTGTCTTTCCAACGGTATATTAAACATGTTCTTTCACGTGCAAATCATGGTTACATTGAATGGCTGCCACCAATTTAATATGAATCTCGTATTAACACAAACGGTCACCAGGGTAGAACCACTGACGTTCTATAAGCTAGCGTGTTAGCTACCTCACATAATAGCATCAAAAGTCCCTGTCGAAAATCCACGGCGGTGACGAAGAGAGTGTTAAGAGAAATTCCTATTAAAGTTTTGCCAATGGAAAATAATCAGGATAATAATGTTTATTTGGTTGTACGACGCACCAAAACAGAAAAGAATCATCCTTGTCTTAAATTCATATACATTTCTTATTCTTAATATTATTTCTATGTTATCGTTCTATCATCGTATGTTAATTGACTGGTCAACATTAAAGGTAATCTGAAGATAAAAGTTCTCACTATTTAATTATGTGCTAAACTGTCAAAAAATTACAATGATGAGATACTACATCATCGCGCACTTGCAGAATGCTCCCAGAATGCTCGGATTGTTTTTGTCGACTCGAAGATAACATAAATATTTTTCATTATTCTAAGAAATCGTTATAATATCAACAAATAAAGTAGCGCACCAACGATTAACTTAAATGCGTGATATAAATTTTTTTTAAAAAAAACGTTAAACTGTTTTTGAGCCTGAAAATAGATATATTTCATTTGGGATCATTTTGGAAAAGAAATATCCCGTTTTCAGGATTCAACTAGGCAGTTAAACGTTTTTTAAAAATTCAAGCACTTATCATACTCTTTTGCGGCTACATTTTTTTTTTTTGATATTCTAACGATTTTATAAAACATATTTTACTTTCGAGTAGACGGTGTGTAAAGAAAACAAAAAACAGACTGATTGGGAGCATTTTCCAAGTGTGCGATGAGGTAATATCTACCATTGAATTAAGTCGATACTTTAATTTCAACGAGTTGCTTCGTCAACACGCGTACGGCTTATGATCTCCTTAAAACAGAGAACTTGTCATATTAAAATCATGACAAGTCTACGATCATTAATCAGGTTTTTAAGCATGTTCATTTCTTTTTTGTTATATTTAAAATGCTGAAGGCATTGTCCAACTAAAATTTGTTAAGTAAATTAATCATCCAATCAATCTTCCAAAATGAAGACGTGTTTGATTCATCTTCCGACTTTTCCTACGATTCAGCCGATTTTTTTATTGATTTTTTTTATTTATTTTTTTTTATTTTTATTTTTTATTATCATAATTAGTGGAATTACGCATAGATATCAATGTTGATATTAACTCATGAATCATATTGGTTTAAAGAAGCTCTTCAGGCAGACATTGATAGCTTGGTAGGGAACCATAATTGGACAGGGAACCAGATTATCCCGTTGCCAACTAGCATTCGTCGATGTTTTAATTTAACGGTAGCATTGTGACGTCACAGAAGTAATTGACGTTACGCATTAGCAACGTGATATTGACCCCGGAAAATTACACAAGCTGTTTTTTAAAACCATTTAAGCATGGAAAATTAATGGCTAGTGATAGTCGAGGCTGTTTCGTTTGGCTCATAAGTTTTAAGAAGTCTTGCAATGAAAGGGTGAGTAGCACAAATAGAATTTTCAAAATTCAGTCTAGATAATAATCAACTGTTTTACTGAGGTACATCTAAAATGGCAACAGAATTTACTTTGGGGAAATTTATTGATGGTGATGATGTTGATGATGATAAAGATTAGATAATATATAAATAATAATTATATGATAAATAAATAAATAATAATAAATAAATATATCAAGTAATAGATAATTAATTTAATAAATAATAAATAAAAGAATAAATAAATAAATAGCAATTAGATCTAGTAAATTATTTTTTTTATTATTATTATTATTATAAACATTATCATTATTATTAACTTTATTATCATACTATTATTATTATTATTATTTTATTATTATTATTATTATTATTATTATTATCATTATTATTATTATTATTATTATCTATAAAAATTATTAATTATTATCATTATTATTATTATTATTATTATTATAAAATGATCAAATGATAAGATAATTCTAAGAATTTTGTCGGAATTGAAGATTTATACATGAGCAGATCAATAACATTTCAAATAAAAAAATTGGACAATAAAATCGGTGGCTTCTGAAATCTCAATGCAGGTTAATACTGTATATAAGGAACATTAACTTTTTTACAGTTTGCAAGATTTCGAAACCGCTTGCGCCAAAGATATTATGCAAGAAGAGGCAAGAGTCTTGACCCAGAAACCCTGTTAAATGAAACAGGAAATGCCGAAATGGTCGTCTGTAAGATTGCCAACAAGTCAGACAAAATTGTTCCTCAAAACCTGTCATCTCACAATGGTATGGTAGTTTATACATTAATTTAAAAAAATTCTTACTGCAGTATATTTTCTACCAGTTTTATTGTCTAGGAACGAAAATCAAATTACAGATTTGTCACTATTTTTCACTGACCAAAAAACCAACTCAAACCTAATATCTTATATTAGTATGTAGTTGTTTATTCATTTTTCTATTATCATTTCCATTCCTGTAAAAAGAAAATACAAACACAAAAAAAAAGAAGAAGAACAACAACAACAACACACAAACAACATTTTACATTTTGTTAAACTTTTATATAATTAAAAGTATAACAAACATTACTTTAAATTTATACAATATAACAATCTGAAAATCTGAAAGCTTTTGCCTTTTTTAGATGATGTTGTTGATAATGAAAATTCAGCAGTGATTGAGGTCACAGCAGACGACAAACTTGGTAAATATATGTATTTTTCCCAACTATTTTTACAATTCCATTATTTATTTTGTGGAACTTTGGTAATCTTAAATAATATCTTTCAAAATTGTGTCAGATAGTTGAAAATGTCCGTTTTGTATTCCTCATTTGTAACATTTATTGGCGTTGCTACACCTTTAAAGAACCGCAATTTAATGAGCTGTTTAGTTTAAACAGATCGTGATACATTTTGTTAAATGTTGCATTCAATATAAAAATGCATGTGCTATTAAACCGATCGTCACATTCAAATTTATACTGATCATTTAGATATTAAGGCGACAACAACAAATACTTTTCGTTATGTGACACCATGTCATTATAACATAAAATAAAGATTTAACATAAATTATTTTTTAGTTGAAGAGTACGTGACATACATCATAGACAAGGCAGCCGACACTCTTAAGCAGGAGTTGCCTAGCAACACAAACACCGTAACAGTGATGCCACACTGTAAAAAATTACCGTTAAATTTATAGTCGTTTACTGGTATTCCGTAACGGGTTCAGCCCGTACACTATTATACGGTATCGGACTCTCGTTTGCGTTGCATTGCGGGATAGCGTTCCACGGCAGCCATTTTACTAAGTTTGACAAGAGGTAAAACATGTCTTACAAAAAATCCTAATTAGTACAAGAATTTGCTCGTTACGAATTTTTGTTTCGATTTCAAAGAATAAAAAGTTATAGATCTATTTAATTGATTTTCAGAATGTCATTTGATTACTCGATCTTTTTGAGCTTTTATAAAATTATGCTTAATATCTGAAAATTACTACCCCACCCACCATCTTTCGATAAATAACCACCATTTCAAAGTTAAGTAGCACACAGGGCTGAAAAAATGTCTTTATTTGATTGTTTCTGCTATGTGATTTCAGATGCACATAAAGCGATTTTGAAGTTAACCATTTTTTCTGCCCAGGAACAATGGCCTGGCAGCTGGACTCTAGCATTGATCCGTATATTTACTGGGCCTCCGTAATGTTTAAGGCCTGTAAATTTACTGCTTGACCAGTACTTTTACGACGGATAGACCGTAAATATACGGGGAAGTCCTGGAAACCAGCTGCCAGGACTTTTCCCGTAAAATTTTACGGTAAATTTTTGCAGTGCAGCAGACGACAACATATCTTTGTCCTCCAGTATCATCAGCCGTAAGTGATTTGATTGATACACAGGACATTCCTATTGCCCGGGGAAGGGCGTAGGATAGCTGATTTTTTACTTTTTGTCTGCACCTCACTTCCGGGTGAATGCGAAGGTTGTGACTTTAGTCAACATTTAACCTTTTGGCAGTTTCCGCAGGGTAGGGCCTTACCCAGAGCGGGGCGCAGGTAAAACTGATCTGTGTATGAAATAATGCCTTTAAATAAATAATGAATATATTGATAATTCTACATTTTCAACAGTTGTTTATGACAAATATCTAAAAATAAAGGTTGTTTCTTTATACGGAAACTGTCTGGTTGTTGAATATGGTGGCTGATTTGATGGTGGCTGATTTGATGGTGGCTGATTTGGTACATTGCGCGTTGCGTTGTGGAGAGCGACAACGCAACCTCTATCGTTATCGCCTTTTCGTCGCGTCGCTAGCGACAACACGACCTTTGTACATTTTTACGGAAACTGTATGGTTGCAGAGATAAAACTTATCCAATGAGTTTGGATGTTTTTTTTTACAGCTGACCGATGATTTTTCACCATGACATCCGTTATTTTTAAGGGTTATTTGCCACACCGTTCCCAGTACTTTTTGGACAGGTACTCAGCAACGGCTGACACACATTAACCCCGGCCCATTATCTTTCGTAATTTTTTTTTAATTCTGAGTAGATACTTTTTTTAGTGTACATGATATAATTATTTTCTTGACAGAAATTGCTGATATGGCTGTTACGGAGAGCCTGTCAAATATTGTGATGGATGCCGACATCAACCACTCTGCTATTAGAGCTTCTAGAACTGTCAAAGAATTCAAGGGTAAGAATGTATGCATAGTATTTTGTGACAAACCAAATATTTTAGTCATACAGTACTTCATTATTTTTCATATATTATAAAATTATAAAACAAAATAGGCGTCGAGCCGACCAAGAAAACTTCTGTCAGGTTATTTTTTTAAAACAAAAACCCTGGCTTACACATTAAAAGATCATTTGTTTCACAACTTTATGAAGTGAAAAAATAATCGTTCTATATTATCTTATAGAAGCATTTGGCATAAGCGGATATGACATCACTGATGATGGTCTTCCACCTGTAAGTGAGTAAGGTAAGAATTGATAATTTCAGACTTTTTTCATCATTTTATCCATTGTTGAAATATTTGGAAAAAAACGTAAAGTATGTATATTTAGGTATATGTCCTGCAATATTATTACAAATTTAAAGAACTCACTCAAACACAAGCTGAAATCTCTTAAAGGCACATTATGCCACAGAAATCCTTTTTATTAAATTCTTTAGAAATGTAAAACACATGTTTAATAATGTTTTAATAAAGGATTTAGAACATGTAAGATATTTAACAGCTGAAAAAAGTAGTGCTGAATGTGCAGTAATGTGTCGTAAAGGTAGCAAAATGTAAACAAATAGTATTTTGACTTCCATACAAAATACTAATTCATTATAATTATACCAATTGCCAGCAAAGCAAAAGATGCAAAGATAGTTAACTTATATGGCAAATAAGTATTTTTGTGGAACTTGTATTAAGACACCAAATATTTAAAATTTTGCGAAATAAAAATAATAGCATTTCTGACGCAATAATGTGCCTTTAACTTTCGATATATTGCAGAAATTGTTTCAACTTTGATCCCAGCTTTACTGTTGGACAAAGGCATATATAATGAACATACGAAGGTTAAATGATAAGATAACTTTGAAATAAAAGCTCGCGGTGCTTATATGTCGTACTTTATCCTCAGCTACTTGTTATAAAGACAAAAGTTTAGTCCTTCCTATTTCAAACCATTGACCAAGTTCACTGTGCGCAAACGCTCCTTTGTTATGAAAACATATTCTGTTATTGGAAAATGGTCCGAATATGTTGATATAACACAACATTTCAATATGAATTTAAGTACATTTATATACAAAGTCATGTCTGAGGGAACTTCTACCAGACTTTAGCCCGTAGCTTGTGTTATCTTTTTTACTTTTTGTCTGACCATTATTCCCATATTCACGAGGTTTGACGGAAATGACCGAAAAGTTGCGATCTCTGTAGTTATACCATACGCAGTTATCATGATTTTTAGAATTGTGTTCCTGTCGGAGTGTCCTCTTTCTCTGAGTCCAAGTTGTGCAAATTTCTGAAGTTCCTAAAAAAAGCAATACTGAATAAATGAGCCGTGTCATGACAAAACCAACATAATGGGTTTGCGACCAGCATGGATCCAGACCAGCCTGCGAATCCGCGCAGTCTGATCAGGATCCTTGCTGTTCGCTATCAGTTTCTCTACTTGTAATAGAAGTTGGTAAGCGAACAGCATGGATCCTGATCAGACTGCGCGGATGCGCAGGCTGGTCTGGATCCATGCTGGTCGCAAACGCATTATGTTGGTTTTGTCGTGACGCGGCTCAAATATGTAAAATTGATCATTCCTCGAAAACAAGCTTTTGTTACCCAGTTTGTTCTTTAAATTTCAGATTAAAAGAAGAAGAAAGTAACCACGTGCATATGTGTCTATGTTTGTTTGTTGTTTTGCTGTTTCGTTTTAATTGTTTTTCTATTATTATTTTTTTTCTTGTTTTGCTTTGCTTGTTTTTCACATTATTATTTTCGTCTTTCCATGTTCTGCTCAGGCATCGATTTTATATCTTTAAATATTATTGTCATAAACATGTTTCTGAATTTTATTCTTACTAATAAAGTCCATTGAAACATACACTTGTCTATCATTTTCTATCTTCCAGTAAATTGCTCATTGAAACAGCAACAGTTTGAAACATGTCGTAAGATGCTATTCCTAAAGGTTTGGTTACACAAAATATTGCAAGGGAATTTATCAAAAGATTATAATTAATTAAGGCATGATCAATAGAAGCTCAACACAACAACATAATGTCTTACCATGCGCAAGACGCTGGTAAACTTAAATAAGTTTGTGTATGATTTTTGTTGCCATAGATCAATGCTGATCTGTGTATCATGTTGATTAATTTGAATAAACGTTTGCATGATCTTTGTTAAACATGTACAATGGAACAATCTATTCTTTAAAAAAGAAGAAAAAAAAAGAAGATAAAAAAAGAAAAAAACAAACCCCAACAACATTGTTATACTAATAGTGTTTAAAACAAATGAGCCGCGTCACGACAAAACCAACACAATTGGTTTGCGGCCAGCATGGTTCCAGACCAGCCTGCGCATCCTCGCAGTCTGATCAGGATCCATGCTGTTACCAATCGTTTTCTCTACTTGTTATAGAGTTTGTAAGCGAACAGCATGGATCCTGATCAGACTGCGCGGATGCGCAGGCTGGTCTGGATCCATGCTGGTCGCAAACCCATTATGTTGGTTTTGTCATGACGCGGCTCAAATAATTAAATGAGATCACTGGAATGCATGTGTGTACTGGGTATGCCTCTGTAGTCAATACACATTGCACGGGAATTACTAATTATTCAAAAGTAAGTTGGGAAAGTTAGAAAATATAGCACGTGAAAATCGTGATATCTGTGTTATCATTTTTTTACAACCGAGGTGTATAAACTGTAAGTGGAATTATGTTTACGCGGCCTACACTAGTCCTAATTATAAGACCTATACGTAACCTATTTCATATTTATCATTCATTAATCTGATATTTTACATTTTTCATTTTCCATGTTACGTTAGGTCTTAACAGATCTTTGCAAAATCGTGTAGCAAAAAAAATGACATTAGACATCGATTTAGATCTAATGAATTTAAACAATTAAAACAGCCTGTATTTACATTAATTTTGACCTATTTATAAACAAAACTAAAAAATAAATACCTTTTAACAAAATAATTTAACTGTCAAATTCCTTTTACAGCCGATATACAAATGGCCGCCATAAGGTGCGAGAAATCTGATTGGCTAATACAAATGTAAGCGTTTAAATGAGTCCAGAAGTTTCTAACGGAATATTTTTTAACGAAATAATTGCCCATGCACCGTCAGTGTGTTCGAATATATTTTTCCGTTCAAAAAAATGGAATCAATCTGTAAAACGCTTTACTTAACCAGTATGGCCGTGAGCGAAATAGACTGATATTTCTATTTTATTTTTGATTGATAAGTCCATTGTTTGAAAGTTTTTGTTAATGATAGACCATGCAATGAAAGAAACAGAAGATAAGCTTTTGAATAAGCTTGAAAAGGCAAGCCAACAGACATTTTTTTTAATTTTTCAAAATGCTACGCGTTTATGAGCAATAACTATTAGACGTCAGGCTTGACCAACATAAAACTATAACAAGCCTGTAACGTCTAATCTATTGGACTAGGCCTACACATGCCTTCTTATTATCACCTGATTTTCAACATCAGTGCTTTGCTTCAAAGCACATGCAATTTCCGGTCCTATTCAAGGTAAGTGGTTTTATTGGTTTATTTCTTGGTGGTTTCAAATATTTTTAAAAATGAAAACATAAGTTTGACCTCGCTACTATTATAGCGTGTTTATCAGTTAATTTTTTTTAGCACATTATAAAACATTGTATATTTTTAGAAAGTAAAAAAGTGCAGAACTGTAAGACCCTTTTCGCTGAAAACGACGTACGTCCACATGTGTTTGCCGAGTTTAAACCCCGACACCAATACCCCGCCCACCCGCAACACCTCAATCCCCTACGCCCGACACACCCTGTACATACAGTCTTTTTGTAGACATAGATATACACGTTTTACCTTTTGTATTACAGTCATATATTTTCTGACAAATAATATAACTGTACTGGCAAATTGTCAGAAATGTGTATTTCTGATTGTATAATAAGTAAGTACATTTATTGTGAGAGTTTTGTTTTGGACAGGAGGGGAGGGTGGATGGGGGAGGACGAAGTCCAACGTGCCGAACACAGTGCGTATATCGTATATCTGGATATAAAATCGTTTTATATATTAAAGTATTTTTTCTTCACAAATCAAAACATGTACATGTATTTATTTCCGACAGCCTCTTGACAAAGTAGAATAGTTATTAAACATTTACAACTGAAATTAAACATTCATTTTGTCTGGGTCTGCAGATGCAAAGAAGTGATAAGGGTTACATGGTGTATTGTCACTTCTTTGCACATATTCGAAATGTTGTTAGAAATGATGATGACGTCTTACGTCACGAGCAGACGATCCTCTACACCGTATTTATCCTATTACAAGGTGACGCGGCAATGTGAAAAAAAAACAAAAAACGCAGAATACAATTGAGCCGCGTCATGACAAAACCAACATAATGGGTTTGCGACCAGCATGGATCCAGACCAGCCTGCGCATCCGCGCAGTCTGATCAGGATCCATGCTGTTCGCTATCAGTTTCTTTACTTGTGATAAGGTCTGTAAGCGAACAGCATGGATCCTGATCAGACTGGATCCATGCTGGTCGCAAACCCATTATGTTGGTTTTGTCGTGACGCGGCTCAATTGATGAAACGAGCACCGTATCAACGCTCATATTTGATATATGAAAATACTTGTTGCTATACAGTCTCTTTTAGAATGTAAAATAAAATCTTAGTTTATTTTTCTCAAGGTTGATTTTCTTGAGATATTTTGGTTCATCTGGCAGCACACAGCTTTAAGAAAGGATCAAGTCAACAAGACCAGTTATAGGGAATACAATTACCCATATCATATACGATGCGGGTTCTGGTAGTCAGATTATACATAATCGGTAAGAATTATCTAGATTTCAATACATATCTGCGGTAAAAGTCTTTTATACGGTGGCACAGAGGTGACGTGTGTGTGCTTTTTAGCTGGACTATTCGAAGAATATGCACAGCTATTGCAGTCGCCCCGGCGTCGGCGTCCACATCCGCGGCGGCGTTGGTTTAAGTATTTTGTAACAAGAGATATCTCAATTATTGCTTGAGATATTCAATTGAAACTTACAATACGTATTTATAGTAACAATGTACATCAGATAACTCTGCCTACAATATTTACAGAATCATGCCCCTTTTTAACTAAGAATTTTTGGTAAAAGTTTTTTGTAAAGTCAAATATCTCAATTATTGCTTGAGATATTCAATTGAAACTTACAATAGTTATTTATAGTAACAATGTACATCAGATTGACAAGTTGGATAACTCTGCCTACAATATTTACAGAATTATGCCCCTTTTTTACTTAGAAATTTTGGTTAAAGTTTTTTGTAAAGTCAAATATCTCAATTATTGCTTGAGATATGCAATTGAAATTTACAATACTTTTTATAGTAACAATTTACATCAGTTTGCAAAGTTGGACAACTCTGCCTGCAATTTAATTGCAGAATTATGCCCCTTTGAAACTTAGAAATTTTGGTTAAAGGTTAAAAGTCTTAAGAACTATCAAAGATATTTACTTGAAACTTTACACATGTACGTAGGTCATAATTGAAGGTCACATCTCAAGATCCATTACTCTGCCATGTATTTTGACTGAATTATGCTCCCTTTTGTACAAAAAAAAATCTCCTTTTCTTGGTTAAGTTTTATATGCAAGTTTTGCATATCTCTGAAACTATTAAAGATACAAAATTGAAACTTTTTATGTATATTTGTTGTCATAAATAATGATCACTGAACATCACTCATATCTGTGCCATGTATTTAGGCTGATTAATCTCCCCCTTTTTTACTTAGTCTCTAGTTGTTGAAGACAATTTTGATTTTATTAGAATCTGGGCATCCAAGGGAAGTAACTGCTGGGGACTGAATTAGGTATGTTAGTGACAGTTAGAGTGACCTCCCCTGACGAATTGCAAATGGCGTCAGGGTATCAAAGGGACGGAACTGTGGGGGTACTAAAATAGGGCAGTTAGAGTGACCTCCCCTGACGAATTGCAAATGGCGTCAGGGGGATCAAAGGGACGTAACTGTGGGGGGTACTAAAATAGGGCAGTTAGAGTGACCTCCCCTGACGAATTGCAAATGGCGTCAGGGTATCAAAGGGACGTAACTGTGGGGGTACTAAAATAGGGCAGTTAGAGTGACCTCCCCTGACGAATTGCAAATGGCGTCAGGGTATCAAAGGGACGGAACTGTGGGGGTACTAAAATAGGGCAGTTAGAGTGACCTCCCCTGACGAATTGCAAATGGCGTCAGGGGTATCAAAGGGACGTAACTGTGGGGGTACTAAAATAGGGCAGTTAGAGTGACCTCCCCTGACGAATTGCAAATGGCGTCAGGGTATCAAAGGGACGTAACTGTGGGGGTACTAAAATAGGGCAGTTAGAGTGACCTCCCCTGACGAATTGCAAATGGCGTCAGGGTATCAAAGGGACGTAACTGTGGGGGTACTAAAATAGGGCAGTTAGAGTGACCTCCCCTGACGAATTGCAAATGG